CCGAGAAGATTAGATGCACAACGATAGATGAATTTGAACGAAGCAAGATGGACTACGTATGAGAGCCTACTTGATGCGTACGATTTCAGAATGAGCCGGTGGAGGTGATTTGGGCGTATGGAGATAAAGACCCTGGGACCGGGGAGGAACCGGCCTATCACGGGCGCCAGCGAGGGGGACGCACCTTGTCCCTCCTCGATGCAACCGGGAACGTCGGTCCGACTTCTTCACCGCCGAAGGGCGGAAGGAAACCCAAGCATTCGTCGGAGGAATCGTCGAACGATTCGTCGGAGGAGGGCAGGGGTTGACCTCCCCGGGCCTCAAAGATGGAGGGGGGTCACGCCGTCGTTTCGTTCCCGAGCCACATCCTTCATTACGGTCTCCTTGCTTTCACTGCATGCATTTTCGCGGATTCTCGGTCGTGACTTCACACTGGCATTTTTCGTCTCCCTCGACTCCGTCACGAATGAAGTTGCACGTTCCGATCGAATACTTCCCGGCAAAGTTTTATTTCTGGTAAATGAAACACCTGCTGGAGAATCCAGATTACCGGCAGATCACACGCACGAACGTTTCCCAAAAGAAAACTGGAGAAAATTGCCGAAAAATAATCGAATTCGAGATATGAGGTCGGCATGCCAAGCATCGGTTTATGACCCCACCGATGATTCTTGGCACGTGCGCTTAAGGTTGAGGAAAATCGGATTTTTATTTATTCATTTCAGTGCTAGATATACCGTTCGTATAATTTTCTCTGAAGCTATTTTTCAAAGGTAACCTTCCCCCAAAATAATTTAATCTCTGTGGAGGCGATCTCGGAGGCATTTCATCTCGTCTGGGTACAGGCTTTCCTGCTTTTGCTGTGTCCTGGGATTCCAAAAATATTATTGCAATGCGCTCGTGAAGTGTTCCCTGTTATTTCTTGGTTTTTCTTACAGCTTTTCAAACGATTTTATTCCGTCCCGACTCCCCCTTGACCTCGGGCATGGAAGCAATCACCGGGAACCGGTGATGAAACATCTCCAAGGATGAATTTTCGGGTCTATAGCGAAACCAAGAAAGAACGAAAACGAAGAACATAACGCGACGGCAAACGACACGAGCCGTCGAAGGAGACAAAACGTGGAACGTAACACGAGGTAGAAAAAGACAGAAAACATAGAATCTACCATCTCGGACCTAGACTGCTCCCCACGACCATTTCTCCCTTTCGATGTCGAAGTCCGCTTCCAACGAATGTGGAAATTCCACATCTCGCAATCCATCCGGAGAAGAATCCTATATCCTCATCTCGTAGAAACAAAGACGAGGATTTCTCTTTATTCGTGAGCTTATTGTTGCCTTGGCCCCGCCCATTCAGGACGACCTCGTTGCCTAAAATGCTCATTTCCGACAAATTCCCGAACATGGGCAGTAGATTGCAACTACAGTACTTCCGAGAACATGGATGCAGTAGCATGCGAGCCCGCCGAAGCACTCCCCTTTTCCCGTAAGGTACATGAAACGCCCTTGAAGCTTCGAAAATCGACCATCGAACGAACGATTCGGTGGAAGGATGGAATCGCAGGTTCGCATCCAGCCATCGGATCGTTCAAATTTGTGGGCCTTCTTGGAATTTTTCCAGGAACAGATTAGATAGGGCAAGACTTCATGGGCCCGGAAAGGGATTCAGTGCGACGGCAGGATTCAGATAATTCGTAACGACCGTGCAAACAGATGTCATGGGCTTTCTCCTAAGCATTTCATATGTTCTGCTGTTTTAAATCCCTCCTTTAGATTCCAGACGAAGACCCGGGCATTCCATAAAAAAATAGTCATCCGACATTTTGCCGATTCGAATTTTGTCGTCTTCTTTCAGCGCACTCAAGATATTGTTAAATTCTAGGTCGAGGCTTTCTTCGTTTTGTCGTGCTACGGAATTCTGAAGAGACCCTTGGCAATTCAGTCTTTTCACTTTCTAGGTCTTTTCACTTTCTATGGAAGCAAGAAAAACGTGGAATGGCGGTGATCCGATACGATTTGTAGACGCTCTGAACTCGCGGAAATGTGACCAAGTGCAACCATATTTTCTAATGTACATACGTCGATGAAACTAACAGTATCCAATACAGATGTTGTAGAAAAGCAAGAAAATCGATGAATCTCGCCGATTCGACAGGATTTCAAAGGCGCTCTCAAATCGCGGGAACGTGAGCAAGTGCCACCATATTTTCTAATGTAGCTACGTCGATGAAACTGACAGCATCCATCGCAGATGTTGTATAAAACCAAGAAAAACGTGGAATCGCGGTGATCCTACCCGATTTGTAGACGCACTCAACTCGCGGAAATGTGAATAAGTGCCAACATATTCAATAAAGGAGCTATGTCGATAAAACTGACAGCAAAACGCAGACTTTGTATAAAAGCAAGAATATCGATGAATCTCCGCGATTCGACAGGATTTCAAAGGCGCTCTCAACTCACGGGAAAGTGAGCAAGTGCACCATATTTTCCAATGTAGATACGTCGATAAAACTGACAGCATTCATCGTAGATGTTGCAGAAAAGAAACACGTTGAAACGGGTAGAAACAACCGATTCGTAAGACGCTCTGCTCTCGCGGAAATGGCACCAAGAGAGACGAAATTTTCTAATGTAGCTACGTCGATGAAACTGGCAGCATCCAATGCAGATATTGTAGAAAAGCAAGAAAAACGTGGAATCGCGATGATCCGACTCGATTTGCAGACGCTCTCAACTGGCGGAAATGTCACCAAGTGACAACATATTTTCCATTTGAGCTATGTCGATGGAACTGACAGCATCCAATGCAGCTGTTGTAAGAAACCAAGAAAATGGTGGAAACGCGGTGATTCGACCCGATTTATAGACGCTCAAATCTCGCAGAAACGAGACTAAGTGCCACCAGATTTTCTAATGTAGCTACATCGATGGAACTGACAGCATCCAATGCAGATGTTGTAGAAATGCAAGAAAAACGTGGAATCGCGATGATCCGACTCGATTTTTAGACGCTCTCAACTGGCGGAAATGTCACCAAGTGACACCATGTTTTCTAAATTAGGTATGTCGATGAAACAGACAGCATCCATCGCAGATGTTGTAGAAAAGCAAGAAAATCGATGAATCTCCGCGATGCGACAGGATTTCAAAGGCGCCCTCAACTCGCGGAAACGCGAGCACTTGCCACCAGATTTTCTAATGTAGCTACATCGATGGAACTGACAGCATCCAATGCAGATGTTGTAGAAAAGCAAGAAAAACGTGGAATCTCGGCGATGCGACAGGATTTCAAAGGCGCCCTCAACTCGCGGAAACGTGAGCAAGAGCAACCATATTTTCTAATTTAGCTACGTCGATGAAACAGACCGCATCCAATGCGGATGTTGTAGAAAAGCAAGAAAAACGTTGAATCTCGGCGATTCGACAGGATTTCAAAGGCGCCCTCAACTCGTGGAAATGTGACCAAGTGCCAATATATTTTCCATTTTAGCTATGTCGATGAAACTGACAGCATCCATCACAGATATTGTAGAAAAGCAAGAAAAACGTGGAATCGCGATGATCCGACTCGATTTGTAGACGCTCTAAACTGACGGAAATGTGTCCAAGTGCCCCCATATTTTCCATTTTAGCTATGTCGATGAAACTGTCAGCATCCAATGCGGATGTTGTAGAAAAGCAAGAAAAACGTGGAATCTCGGCGATGCGACAGGATTTCAAAGGCGCCCTCAACTCGCGGAAACGTGAGCAAGTGCCCCCATATTTTCCATTTTAGCTATGTCGATGAAACTGACAGCATCCAATGCAGATGTTGTAGAAAAGCAAGAAAATCGATGAATCTCCGCGATGAGACAGGATTTCAAAGGCGCCCTCAACTCGCGGAAATGTGACCAAGTGCCAATATATTTTCCATTTTAGCTATATCGATGAAACTGACAGCATCCATCACAGATATTGTAGAAAAGCAAGAAAAACGTGGAATCGCGATGATCCGACTCGATTTGTAGACGCTCTCAACTCGCGGAAACGTGACCAAGTGACACCATGTTTTCTAAATTAGGTATGTCGATGAAACTGCCAGCATCCAATGCGGATGTTGTAGAAAAGCAAGAAAAACGTGGAATCTCGGCGATTCGACAGGATTTCAAAGGCGCCCTCAACTCGCGGAAACGTGAGCAAGTGCCACCATATTTTCTAATGTAGCTACGTCAATAAAACAGACAGCATCCAATGCGGATGTTGTATGAAACCAAGAAAATGGTGGAATTGCGGTGATCCGACTCGATTTGTAGACGCTCTCAACTGGCGGGAAATGTGACCAAGTGCCACCATATTTTCTAAATTAGGTATGTCGATGAAACTGACAGCATCCAATGCAGATGGTGTAAGAAACCAAGAAAATGGTGGAATCGCGGTGATCCGACCCGATTTGTAGACGCTCTAAACTAGCAGAAATGTGACCAAGCGCCCCCATATTTTCCATTTTAGCTATGTCGATGAAACTGACAGCATCCATCACAGATGTTGTAGAAAAGCAAGAAAATCGATGAATCTCCGCGATGCGACAGGAATTTAAAGGCGCCCTCAACTCGCGGAAACGTCAGGAAGTGCCACCATATTTTATAATATAGATACGTCGATGAAACTAACAGCATCCAATGCAGATGTTGCAAAATAGCAAGAAAAACGTGGAATCACGATGATCCGACTCCATTTTTAGACTCTCTCCACTCGCGGAAATGTCACCAAGTGCCATCATATATTCTAATATAGATACGTCGATGAAACTAACAGCATCCTATGCAGATGTAGAAAAGCAAGAAAAACGTGGAATCGCGATGATCCGACTCGATTTGTAGACGCTCTCAACTGGCGGGAAATGTGACCAAGTGCCACCATATTTTCTAATGTAGATACGTCGATGAAACTAACAGCATCCTATGCAGATTTTGTAGAAAAGGAAGAAAATCGATGAATCTCCGCGATGCAACAGGAATTTCAAGGCGCCCTCAACTCGCGGAAACGTGAGCAAGTGCCACCATGTTTTCTAATTTAGGTATGTCGATGAAACTGACAGCATCCAATGCGGATGTTGTAGAAAAGCAAGAAAAACGTGGAATCTCGGCGATTCGACAGGATTTCAAAGGCGCCCTCAACTCGCGGAAACGTGAGCAAGTGCCACCATATTTTCTAATGTAGCTACGTCAATAAAACAGACAGCATCCAATGCGGATGTTGTATGAAACCAAGAAAATGGTGGAATTGCGGTGATCCGACTCGATTTGTAGACGCTCTCAACTGGCGGGAAATGTGACCAAGTGCCACCATATTTTCTAAATTAGGTATGTCGATGAAACTGACAGCATCCAATGCAGATGGTGTAAGAAACCAAGAAAATGGTGGAATCGCGGTGATCCGACCCGATTTGTAGACGCTCTAAACTAGCAGAAATGTGACCAAGCGCCCCCATATTTTCCATTTTAGCTATGTCGATGAAACTGACAGCATCCATCACAGATGTTGTAGAAAAGCAAGAAAATCGATGAATCTCCGCGATGCGACAGGAATTTAAAGGCGCCCTCAACTCGCGGAAACGTCAGGAAGTGCCACCATATTTTATAATGTAGCTACATCGATGGAACTGACAGCATCCAATGCAGATGTTGTAAAATAGCAAGAAAAACGTGGAATCACGATGAT